AGCTGTCGTGCGCTCATGCGCATCCCTGATGCCCTGCAAAAGCGGGGAAGAGCGATCGAGATAGCTGGACCATGTGGGGATGGTGGGAGCATCGTGGCCGCTCGGACGAATTCTGGAAGACTTGGGGTTCTGACCACCATGCTGTTGTCATAATGGACGGCATACAAAGCAGGAGACGGTATGTTCGTGACTGGCGAAGATTCAGCTACTTGCTTGCGGGAAAACATGCGACGCGTATACCTCCTGTCATCTTGTCGCTGATCGCCCAATTTGCCGAGTCGGCTGCATCTTCCCGTCATCATCAACCCGCGGACAACCCCAGAAGATCATGCGATGTGGAGGGCGTGGCTCAGGTGGCACATTACAGCAGCTTGGAGCTCAAGTCGGAGCTGATAAAGTTTCGATGAAGAAGAGGCTGACAGCTGAACGCCCGCACGTCATCGTACCTTTTGCTCGATCCCACGGTTTGCCCCACTTCAGGGTTAGCTCGCATTTGTCGAACTCTCCAGTCAAGGACCGCGATACTACCACAAGGTTACTACTTGCTTATCTCAGACCAAGTCTATATACTCTACTGGCATCGATATATTATCAATCGTTGCAACTGCCGGGAATACCGCAGGAGCTTACGCTTCGAGAAACCATTCGGAGCATCCGGATCGGGCCTACATAGGTATAATTACTTGCGCCAGTCTTCGCTATTATACATAGATCGTAATCCACCCGTCTCTTCTCTCCTGTTCAACGATCTTTTGATTCTTCCCATCTTGATCGGTCTTTTTGCAACATGAAGCCTCTTACATGTACCACCTTATCTCTTCTCATATCCTCAGTAGCAGCCATTTGGCCTGTACCTGTCTCACATGAATACGGCAATACTGTTCTATTCATCGCAAAAGATGTACCGTTCTATTGGTATGAACCTGGCGCAAGAAATGTAGGCTCAATCACGGATCAGATCCCTTTTCTCTTCGGTTTCAATTCTAACCAAGCTCCACACGCACAGGACAGCAGCGACCTGAAATTGCGCACGCAATACACAGGACCGGTACCTAGCGAAAAGTCCGAAACAGTCACCGGGAAAGGCATCACCAGCGACGACATCGTTGTGTACGCTATCAATTCTACATGGGCAACACTCTTCCAAACCAACTTTTACCCTTGGAAGTTTCACCCTAGAGACTGGGATGAGCCGTCTCCAAGCCAGTCGAATACGTCATACATCTCTCGCGTCGACGTCAAAGTGCTCAAATCCGCCGGCCCTAATGTTACCAAGCCACTTGCTGGGGAGGTTGACGAATCCTATAGTCTAACCTTGACAAAAGAGGGGGTTGCAAGCATCAGCGCAAACACCAGCGTAGGGATAGCAAGAGGCTTGACAACATTCTCTCAACTCTTCTACGCACACTCCGATCAGCAGCATGTATACACACCCTTGGCACCTGTTCAAATCACCGACAGTCCGAAGTTCCAACACCGCGGTATCAACCTTGATGTGTCGCGTAATTACTTTTCCACAGCCGACATCAAACGGCAAATCGACGCTGCTGCCTACAACAAGATGAACAAATTCCACCTGCACGTAACAGACAGCCAGTCCTGGCCCTTGGAAATACCCTCTATGCCCGAACTATCCGCAAAGGGAGCATACCGACCCGATCTAGTCCTCACCGTCGACGACTTCGCGATGATACAACGCTACGCCGCGATCCAAGGCGTGGAAATGATCACCGAAATCGACATGCCAGGTCACACCTCAAGCATCCACTACAGTATGCCAGAGCTAATAGCTGCGTTTGGCATCCAGCCAGACTGGAACACATACGCCGCCTCTCCACCCTCTGGCACATTGAAACTGAACTCGCCCGCTGTCTACGATTTCCTAGAGAAGCTCTTCGATGATGTACTACCGAGAGTGTCTCCGTACTCGGCGTACTTCCACACTGGTGGCGATGAGGTAAACAAGAACGCGTATTTGTTTGATGACACAGTCAAGAGCAACGATTCGGCGGTTCTGCAACCGCTCATGCAGAAATTTGTCGACCGGAACCACGACCAGGTACGCGCCATGGGACTTACACCTGTGGTGTGGGAAGAGATGCTGCTGGAATGGAACCTAACACTTGGCCCTGATGTACTCGTGCAGTCGTGGCAGAGCGACGAAGCAGTTGCACAGATTGTGTCAAAGGGACATAAAGCCATAGTTGGGAACTACAACTACTGGGTAAGTTGAAATTCCTCCTCTACTCTTCCATCGCCTCTTCCAGGCGACAGTTTGCGTGTACTGACAACCACCCAACAGTACCTCGACTGCGGCAAAGGCCAATGGCTAAACTTCTACCCCTCCGTCAGCGCGAATTACTACCCCTACCAAGACTACTGCGCCCCCTTCCACAACTGGCGACTAATCTACTCGTACGACCCGTTACACGGCGTCCCTGCCGAGAACCAGCATCTCGTCATCGGCGGCGAAGCGCATATGTGGGCCGAGCAAACCGATCCTGTCAATGTCGATAGGATGATCTGGCCCCGTGCTGCGGCGGCTGCGGAAGTACTATGGTCGGGTGCCAAGGACGAGATGGGTCAGAACAGGAGTCAGATTGATGCGGCACCCCGGTTGAGTGAGATGAGAGAGAGGTTGGTGGCCAAGGGGATTGGGGCGGAGCCGATTCAGATGCCGTATTGTACTATGGAGGGGAATGTATGTTCATTGGGTAATCTTGGTTAAGGTATGAAAGGTATGATGTGGGGTGTGGAATCGTGGAGTGAGTATGGTAGTGGGTAGATATTGAGAACGTCGAGATGCATCGTACATATTTCAATCTTTCTTTCCCCAACGCCAGGCGCCCTACATGCCCTCATGTTCTTGGTGAACGGTATATCATCAGAATTCCATGGCATCGGCGCCCTCCTCCCTCTCCCTCTTCAACGCTGGTTTGTCCTCATCCACTAAGCCCGCGACAAACCGTCGGAAGTAGTCTACGTACGGCTTCAAGCTCGTCTTCTCCCAATCCTGTATCTTCTTATCTGTTTCTTCGCCTGACCAATCGTCGATCTCCTGGAGTAACTGTGTGACTGTTGGTACGCTCAACGGATCGAAATTCTCCACGGTCCTCGTGTCGATTGGAACACAGACACGTCCTGTTCCGGGGTGAATTACGAATGGCGACTTGAGCAAATGGTTGAGTTTCTTGGAGACTTCGGCATCGAGACGGGGGTATGTGTATTCTAGGATGATGTCTTGCTTGGCTTCGAGAAGGTCTTTGGGCGTCTTTGACAAGGCGCCAGCTTTGGCTAACGCGTCAATGTCGGCCCATTTCGATGCGCTGGGACGGGAGGGCGCAGAATCCCATTTCTTCTTTAGTGCTGCTCTGAGTGTGGGGTCTGGGATGAGGTCGAGGAGGTGCGCGGACTTTTCTTCTGCGGCCCAGGGATCTTGTTCAGCGAGGATGGAGGTCTGGAAGTGCTCTTTCAGGATAGCCAGACTGCGCTCGAGATGAGGATGTAGAGGTCGTCGCACGTTGACCTTCTTGCCGCCCTGGTCTCCTCCTTTGAGTAGTTCGAGATAGCCGGCTACGGAGCGGCGCTTTTGGTCGTCCATTTCCCGGGCTCGTTTGTCGCAGACCCAGGCGTGGGCTCCTCGACGACCGGAATACACCCAGAGGATATGTTTGAAGCCAAAGTCTTCCCGTAGAGCGACATCGATGGTCTTGATGGCCATTGTGATGAAGCCCCAGCACTTGAGACAGATGCTTGCACCCGTGCAACATGTTCTAATGTCGTCGTAATCCGTCATATCGATATCAAAGACCAGCTCTTTCATCAACGGGCGGAACGAGCTCGCTTTCCGCAGTGTTTTCCTATCTCTCGGGTTTGTGCTGTACATGGGACCGATTTCGAAACGTGAGGGCAGCATGTTTATGCATTGCTTCCGCAGAAGATCGGCTGTTGGGAAAGATTGGTATCGTAGGTATGCATCGTTGGGTAGGGTGAAGGCGAATTCGCGGTGTGCAAAGTCGTTGCTGGGTGTTGCGGAATGGTTGAGCCATTGGAAGAGGGGACGGAAGGGGAACAAGCGTTGGTAGAATGCGCGCATGACGTCTGGGTCGGAGAAGGAGGATTTCGACGTGATCTTGCTGTATCTGTGTCAGCAAGTGTTATGAACGCATTATGTCGGTAGATGGGGCGTACATTGGTGCGGGTTGCGAGGCATCCTCCTGCGACGTAGGTGCTGGCGCGCTCGAAGGAAACTCCTCATCTGAGTCTTCATCGTCGAAGAGCTCCTCGAGGTTTACCTTGGGCTTCTCTACCGCGGCGGCTGTGGGTGCGTCTTCCATTGCAACATCTTGCGTCTCCGGCTCGGGTTTGATAGCATCCGACTGGGACATTGCCGTTGAAGACTCCTCGGCGGGCGTTGAATCTGGCGTAACTGAATGCGGCATCTCGGAAGTCATGCGATTGGATTTGGAGGTAAATGTTGTGAGGACGCGGATGCTGGGGGTGAAAGAGTCGGCCGACGCGTTCGCGTATAGTGGTCGCGGGCGCGTTTGGGCTGCAGGGATACCCTTGTCCGCCGTCCCTCGTTCCTTCCCCATCCGTGTAACCATCGCTCGTCATATCGCGTCAAGTCGAGCAAACATTCTCCACATCGCTCAAACCTCACCTGGGCAGGGCATGACCTGCGATAGTAATCACAGTGCGGACGATGGCGGAGGAGGATACTGTGTCCGGAGAAGGGTGGATCTCAGATGATAGCAGTTTCTATGGTAAGTTTGGACACCTCAAGCTAATCCCATGAGAAGTGACTGACGGTGGGTTTAGGTGACGAGGATGAAAAACAACACCAATCAAAAAAGTGTGAAAGCTTCAAGACCGGACCTTTCTGGCGCGCACATGCCAAAGACCTAAACACAATCGCGGCTGCTGCAAGAACACTAGCACCACCATCAGATGGAGCTGTGTCAGACAAGCAACCTGCGGTAAAGGCTAATACCTTCGACATGTCGGGTCTCGATCGCCAAGCTATGGAGCAGGAGCGATTGGCAAGACAAGGCAAGCGAAAGCGAGAGCCCTCACCTGTGTCAGCCTCGAAACTTGAATTGTTCAATCCTTTGGAAGGACAGGATGATGCGTGGCAGCTAGGCGAGCCTGTTGATGACTTTGTCAGGCGACTTCCTCCATACACAACCTCCATCTCTACATGTCCCTGGATCTGGGCTGCTAATCCGTATCGCAATCCTCGCGACAAGTCACCTTCGCCGCGCGTTCAAGACTTTACATCGCATGGCACGGAGTTACTCCAACAGTCGCTCCAGACCCGCCGCGACATCCAGAATGAAGGCGCGAAGGGGCCTAGGGGCATGGTTACTAAACAGCTCCTCCAAGAGAGCAAAGCTCTACAAGAACGGATCTCGGACCTTGCAAAGGACACGCATGTTCTGTCCGGAAAGGTAAGTTCCATTAGCTGCCCGATCATTCACTTCTTCAAATCACTGACTGGTGTTAGTGGATGTTGTTCCCCAAAGCTGTGGAAGTTGCTCGGGTCTGGAAGCAAGTTGTCGCGAATGTGATCGATAATCGACTTGGCTGTACCTGCAAGGTGGCCACAGACGACGGCAAGGACGAGCGACTAAGTAAGTTTGGCGTACAACAGGTAGTGCACAAGTACTGACGAGATACCTTTCATAGTCTGTGTCTACACAAAGGACTTCCTGGACGCTGACGATGTACTGCGAGTACTCCATGAGCTTGAGACCATGGGTCTCATCAACGTCGGCAGGACCATTTACTACAAACCAGACGCCTACACTTATCTGGACCTTAGACGAGAGACGGCTGCAGCATATGGACTCCAAGCCAGTCTTTACAACTCACGAACTCTGTTGGCAGCTAACAAAGTTTCAAAGTCATCCTCGTTTCCGCAGAAGAAGCAGTCGACGCTGAAGAAGTGAGGTTGGGTGTACATCGTTAGCTGCTACGCTGTTTGGGGACGGGGTCGTCAGGCATGTTCAACCAACGAAACTCTCAAAGAAGCTACAGGTGTTGCTGGCCCTCTCTCATATGACAAACAATCCCAGCTTACCAATATTCGTTGAAGCGCTTTGAGCTGATCTTCCCATTTGCCTGGTCGTTCTGAATGCGGCAACCATTGCATAAATATTACAGACACCATTCACAGACGAACAAGTAAGCGTCAGACATGCAGTCATGCCTGTCGACGCTGACCACCGAGCCGCTGTCGGACGCAGCAGCCCGTTTGACATGCCGGCTAGGACCTTTGCGTACCATGCTGAGCAACACGCCTTCAATGACCCGGGCAAACGTAAGCAAAACTTGTCTTCGGCGTTGAAGCGCAGCTGCAAGGTCTTTACCGCTACACTGAGCTGCCGTAGGCGCATGCAGCCAATGTAGAGGCAGTTCGGCCCATCGTGCCTGCAGAGCCTGCCGGCCGCCAGAGCGAGTCGAGAGTAGCTATCGTCTTTGCGACGTCCGTCGTGTTGGCGCGCTACTGAAAATTCCAGAATCCGAGAGGCGTCGAGTTTTCGTTACTCGATAGTTACCCTGAGGACAGGGCTTCAGTGCCGTAGTTCGCCGCTTGCAATAGACGACTTCGACCGACGATCACATCATGACAGAACATCGGAAACCCCCGAAACCATAATATGGCCGTCTCTTCATATCTATACACATCCTCGCATTTCAGAGTCTCAGTAAAATGTCCAAGTGAAGTCGCGCTTGCTGGGACGAGGTAGGTAGAAGAATGGCACCAGCATGACCCGGGCGCGTTCGGGTTCTCGGTTGATGATATGGCTGTCGGCCAGCCCCGAACAGTCAGTCCGTTCGCATGGGTCTAGTCTGCGGCTCGCCTCAGTCTTCGGCGCATCGTATTTCCTTTACTCGATTTCTATCGAGTAATGGGAAGGTCGTATTGGGAGTTACGCTGGCTGACATATGCTTAGCTTCTCCGATGGAATCGGGCCTTACTCCGATATCTTCGAACTCGCACCTTCTATACCAACGAGCGTTTCACGACCATCTTGGAAGAGTGTGTTTCCAACTTCAATATTTACGCAAACCGTAAAGAAAGCAGTGAATAGAATATCACAGAGGCCCTGGGTCTGAGATTCTAGAAGTATGACGCTCCGCCGTTGACCCTGCGCTAGTCTGAGGGCTCTAATCGCGCGATCTACTGTGCGCCTATCGCGTGCAGCGATACCCTTGCAGCTGCTTATCAGTAACACATGCACGTCCCCCAACACCATCCACAACGTGCAGCAACACGTTTAGGAAGTTTACCGATTCCAACGCTCTACCCAATCTTCGGGGAATCAACCTTCGAGCACTGATGACGGAGAAACAGCTCATGATGCGCGCCCAACCTAGACAGCCAAAATCTCGCATGCTCGATCTTGGAGTAGCACACAGTACCAGGGCGAATAGCCTCGTATCTACACTAAATCGGCCAACGGGAGACAGGGTCGATATGCATGGCTAAGGCGGCCGCGATAGACTACCTCCACCCTAGTTACTCGATAGAATCGAGCAACGTGTATTCCAGGGTTCGCCGATGCTCCACAGTCCCCTGACGCCATGTTAGCTGACCCAGATTCTGGCTACAATGCCCCGAGAGGATCTTTGGGCTGGCCCATACCAACGGGTAGATAAGGGCCTGTACCCCAGGTTTTGGCGTTTTTGATAACGACTTACTGAGCGCATCTCTTCTCACAAACGTCTTCTCTGTTTGAAAGTACTGCTTCGTCAAATTTCAGCAAGACACAAACTACATTCCTCTTTGACATTCGTTAGGCGCAACACCAAACGTGCCTTATCAACGCTTATCTGCAGCTCACCCGGAGACGCCCACCTTCTTCCCCGCGTTTGCCGAGTTCGGGGCTTGTTGCTGTATATAGCTCTTGCTGTTAGCACGGAGCTGAGCACTTTCAGACTTCTTTGCGCACTCTTTTCTTGTCCTCGTCTTCTCACGGTCGATTAAATTTCCAACTTGGCATCATGGCACCCCACGCAACTACCCCTCCACCTGTCTCCCACGAGCAACCCATTCAAGCCATCACAGTTCTTGCCTCATCAAGAGCAGTTGTTGCTGGTCGGTTGACTGAGGCTACCATCGTCGTATCAAACCTCACAGGAAAGATCACTTCCATCTTTCACTCAGTACTTCCTCCTACAGACTTTCCTGAAGGTACACCATACACCGACTATTCGCCACAAATCTTGCTACCTGGTCTCGTTGATGCCCATGTCCACCTCAACGAGCCTGGTCGGACTGAGTGGGAAGGTTTCTGGACTGGTACTCGGGCTGCAGCGTTCGGTGGTGTCACGACTGTCATTGACATGCCCTTGAACGCCATCCCTCCTACGACTACTGTCGAGAACCTCAAGATCAAATGCGAAGCATCACAGGGAAAGTGCTGGGTTGATGTAGGCTTCTACGGTGGCATCATCCCCGGCAACTCAGGAGATCTCAAGGCTTTAGTCAAGGAGGGTGTTCGGGGCTTCAAGGGTTTCCTGTGCGACAGTGGAGTGAGCATATTTACCTCAGCACCCTAGCACGTGACACTAACCACTCCCTAGGTCGACGAATTCCCCGCCGTCTCATCCCTCGACATCGAAAAGGCGCTCCTAGAACTCAAAGACTCAACAACAACACTAATGTTCCACGCCGAGATGATCCCACCCATCACCGACTCTGTAGGCGACGACGTACAACAATCCCTTCCTCCACTCGCCCCCAAAGGCCCATTAACCTCATACGACACATTCCTGCAATCCCGCCCCCCATCCTTCGAAACCTGCGCCGTAGCCGAAATCCTCTCGCTAGCCCACCTCGCCCCCGACCTGCAACTCCACATCGTGCACCTCTCTGCCATAGAAGCCATTCCCATGCTACGCAAAGCGCGCGCCGACGGCATCAAGATCACAGCAGAAACCTGTTTCCACTACCTCGCCCTCGCATCCGAAGGCATCCAGGAAGGCGACACAAGACATAAATGCTGCCCGCCCATCCGCTCCCAATCTAACCAAGACGGTCTTTGGGACGAACTGCTCCAAGACACGGCTGATGGCGTGATCCAAACAGTCGTCTCAGACCACTCGCCTTGCACGCCTGAAATCAAACTCTTACCCCCGCATCTAGCACCTAAGAAAACGGATGAGAGCAGCAAGACCGAAATCCAAGGACCAGAAGGAAAAGGCGATTTCTTCAGCGCTTGGGGCGGCATCTCGAGCGTGGGCCTCGGTCTACCTATCCTGTGGACCGAAGGCACGAAGCGCAATCCCGACTTCAGCGTCGAGGAAATCGTACGCTGGTGCTGTAGGAATACGGCGAAGCAGGTTGGGCTGGAGAAGAGCAAGGGCGATATCAGTGTCGGGTTTGATGCTGATATTGTTGTTTTTGACGACGAGGCTGAGTTCTTGGTATGTGGTTCCCGATCTCTTCTCTCCTCTTTTCATTTACGGATGGGCTGTGAGCTAACGGTAATGCAGGTCGAGCCTAACACTATGCTCTTCCGCAACAAGGTCTCGCCGTATGAAAACAAGACGCTCAAGGGTGTTGTGAGGGAGACTTGGCTACGCGGTCAACGTGTCTTTTCGAGGACAGAAGGGTTTCAAGAGAAATCTGGACCGCAGGGCAAGTTGTTGCTTGAGCCGCGCAAGATGAGCGCTTAGGTCAAGGAGGGTGGGGGATTTGCTTTGGTTGTTATGAAGGGTGGGCTGCATATACATGGTTTGGACACGCTGCATAGAGCATGTGGTGTTTGACGTCTTTCCTTTCTTTACTGCATAGATGGTGTTTTTCATTTGGGTACGAATTGCATAGAAGATATTTACAGTCTGAATATGAACCTGCGTACAAAGTACGTGCTTCTGCTTGTTTTCCTCGCAAGTCATGAACCAAATGCCGTGTACGGAACACCAGGTCCTCTCGCAATGAGCAATACCATGTAGTATTCCATGCCAGCTAACAAACAACACACCGAGAACAATGGGTTTATCAAGTACAGCGTATAGTACACATCCTTCAACCCCTATGTATGCACGTCTCTTGGTCTGATACCAAGCCCCTGGAAAATGGTTTACAAGTATTTCTTGGGCGCACCACCCCGCCTCTTCTTGTAAACGATATAAGCACCTGTGATCATAATCTGAACAGCGACCGCGATGAAAAAGAAGGTCATTAGGCTGGGTCCGTGGCTGCCGACAACTGTGATATTGAGTTAGCTTTAATGTCCTCTTAAAACACATCGGATTGAGAATTGTCACTTACCATCACCCATCATACCAGGCAAACTCGACATGACGTGTCCGTGGTTCCTGTCCAAAGCGTGATGAATTTGCTGCATCATGTCCTTGTAATCCTTGTTCTCGATGTCTCGCAGTATCTGCATAGTCGTGCGCTCAACCTTTTCCATGTTGCGGATTGTGGCCGCGGCGCGGTCATCCATGGGTACGATGCGGCGATGGAGCTCCTCCCAGCGCTCCATGTTCTCCTTGTGGATGAGTGTAACGGTCTCTTGGATTTCATAGACGCGGTTGTTGATGATCTGAATGCGGTTGTGAAGGTCGGCGAATTGGTCTTGTTGCGAGCGGATATTGCCTGCTAGAACGTCTTCGAGCATCTTGGGGATGTCTTGCTGGGAGGTGGAGGAACCGTAGTTCTGCTGCCCTTGGTTCTGCTTGTGTGTCTGCTGCTCATGGCCTTGTTGGGCAGCGAGGTTTTGCTGTTGTTGGTGTTGTTGCTGGGAGTTGATGTAGTCCTTCTTGCTTAGGTTGGGCTCTTCGCGCGTGTACGAGTTGGTGGTAGAGACGACGAACTTGTGGACTTCGAAGGAGTCGGGGTTCTCGGCGGAGGAGGCACTTACACCGAAGTAGTAGCCTTCAGGGAGATCGACCTAGAGGGATAGTTAGTGGTGTGTATCTGAGCGCGTGGGTTTGAGAGCATACCTTGTTAGTCTTGAAGCAGGTTTCTCCGTCTACAATGACCTCTAGGAAACCCTCTGCGTGGTGCAATTTGATAGGAGTAAGCTCTCCACGGTTCCTGTATGCGTAATCGCATCTGCCAAAGGCCAATGTATCAGGGTCAGGGTGAGCCCTGATGTCCTTGGTCCCGTCGTTCAGGAAACCGCGAACAGAGCCGCCGTGTCCTTCATACTGATCTATGACGAGTACCAGTCCGTCGAACTTAGGAGCCGTGTACAGGCTCGCTGGTGTCTCCCGCGCTTGCGAGTCCTTGATGTACCACAACTGCAGGTTACCGCCTCCACGCTCCATGCCAGTCGCTCTGAAGTCCAACTCGGCCGTCCAGTCGCCGCTGTGGTGTAGGGGGTCCTGCGCCCATATCGAACCACGCTTGCCTCCAGGGTAGGGAGGTGTGAGGATAATTCTGTCGGAAAGAATCTGGGGCACATAGTCGTCTGAGCCCTGGATGACGAAGTGAGGGACTGTCGTATAATCGGGCGAGATTTGTTGGCCAGCTTTCTGGCCAAAGCTGAGGTTGTCTATGACATATTGGGCGTGCGCTGTGGAGAGAGCGAGGGTCGACCAGGCAATGGTCCGCAGCGATTGCGGTGTGATGTGCATGTTGGAGGGGCGCAATGCGGTGCTCGGGTTGACGATGAGGCTCGACTCGGGGTGCAATTGGTTGCTCGATTATACTCGGACGTAGTCTATCTATCTGGAATCTTGTCAGAGGGTTGTCGAATTGGAGCTAAAGCAGTGAACCAACGTACCTCCTGCTTGGCTGATAGTAGCTTCACCTGCGTCGCAATGGTTCACGCGACGGTCGCAAGTCAATTAATCGAGAGTGAAAGAAACAATCGGGTATCACGAAACGATGGCAATGCACAAGAAAAGAAGAACCGCCGCCAGATGGGCAGGAACGAAACCGAATGGAGATGGGGGAGCTTATGGACAGCTGTGCTTAAGACGGGTCTACCTATGACATTGATTGGGTGGTCTATGCGCCGAGATACTGCGACAACTCTGGTAAGCCACCATCTAAGATGAGACGTCAAGCCCGCGAGGACATTCGACCTGTGGGTACGACACTGATGAAATGTTTCAAGCGATGCGCAAATGACCGAAAATATAGTCGCAAAGGGGTCTAGCCACCGCGATACAGCAATGCGGAGGTTGCTTGGCGGTTCGGTGCGGTCGGGAGTCGTGATTGGCCGACTACCATTTTCTCATCGTCGACTACCTCATGACCGAGCTGCATCCGCCATCGTCGCCGCCTACACGTCTCACGCACCCCACGCCAACCCCTCACCCTCACCCTCACGGCCAACATGTCTGCACCGGATCCCAAGGAAGCCTGGGCGCGCATCCAGAATGAGCTCACACGACGCGGCTCTCGATTCGGCGGCGCGGGCGGCGGCGGACCACCGAAGGGCCTCTTTGGAGGTCTTGGAGGTCTGGTACTAGTTGGTGGTGGAATCTGGATGGCGAACAATGCTCTGTTCAACGGTACGTCTTCTTTAAAGGGCCTTCCAATGGCCATAGTACGAATGATGCTGACTTGCGACAGTCGACGGTGGTCACCGAGCAATCAAGTACACCCGAGTAGGCGGCGTCCAGAAGGAAATCTACAGCGAAGGAACCCACTTCCGCATTCCCTGGTTCGAGACACCCATCACCTACGACGTGCGCGCCAAACCCCGAAACGTCGCCTCCCTCACCGGCACCAAGGACTTGCAGATGGTCAACATAACCTGCCGTGTACTGTCAAGACCGCGAGTCGAATCTCTGCCGCAGATCTACAGGACATTGGGCACCGACTACGATGAGCGTGTTCTGCCATCCATCGTCAACGAGGTTCTCAAGAGCGTCGTGGCGCAGTTCAATGCCAGCCAGCTCATCACACAGCGTGAGAACGTCAGTAGGCTGGTACGCGACAACTTGGTCCGAAGAGCAGCGAGGTTCAACATCATGCTCGACGATGTCTCTCTAACAGTAAGTTCCAACCCACATATCCTTACCCCGCCATATTCTAACCATCTTTAGCACCTCGCCTTCTCCCCCGAGTTCACCGCCGCAGTCGAAGCCAAACAAGTCGCACAGCAAGAGGCCCAACGTGCCGCCTTCGTCGTCGACAAAGCCCGCCAGGAGAAGCAAGCCACCGTCGTCCGCGCCCAGGGTGAGGCCCGCTCCGCCGAGCTGATTGGTGACGCCATCAAGAAGAGCAGGAGTTACGTTGATCTCAGAGAGTTCGAGAACGCAAGGAATATCGCACAGATTCTGCAACAGAGCGCAAACAAGGTCTACCTCGACAGCAGGGGTCTCGGTCTGGACATCAGCCAAACCACGGCGGATAAGGAGCAGAGGGCAAACAGGAAGTAAGAAGATGAAGTGGAATGCGTATCTGAGGAAATACTATTCGAAGACAACGCCATGTATAAATATCTCTGGGAAAAGCGAGGTGCAAGCGTGCAATTGTGTAGCTTTCCACTCATGATCAAATAACAACAAAGTACTCCAACTCAACCCGGCTGTCCTCATGGTACGAGAGGTGTATGCAATGGACCAGGCATACCACTCAAAATGACATGAGGATGATGGAAGCAAGACTGTGTCGAAAGGGTAATGGTATTAATGCGCAAGTACTATATAGGGGTATCACTCTTCGCTCTTCCTCTTCTTCTCCGCATGCTCGTCCTCGTCTCCACCCACAAACTCAGTTCCATCTTCACCGACCTCACTCTCAACCTCGTCCACAGCCCTCTTCCTTTTCTCTGTCCTCGTAACCTCCTCGCCAGCCGACTTCTCCGTAACAAACAACGTACTAGCCGTCTCCTTGACACTACTACTGTTACTCTGCTCACTCACCCCCTGCTCCACTACCGCCTCTCCTCCCTCCTCTTCTTCCTCATCAACCAACCCCAAATCCACCGTGTTCTTCTCCGGATCCTCGAGCGCAGCCTGAATCTTCTCAAGCCCCATATCGTCTCCCTCAAGCGTCTCACTGATATCAGGATCCACCCAGCCCTCTGTGTAGCTGCCCCCGAAATCAATGATCCACAGCTCGTCATTCGCGTCGACCATGAAGTTGTCTGCTTTCGCATCACCCCAAATGATACCGTTGTCGTGAAGCAACGACACATAGGCCGCACTCTTCTCACTCCAAACACGCCTCTTCTCCTCGTCCACCGACGACCTGAGCAACTTGGTCAACGGCGTCGGCGCATCGATATTCTCCAGTAACAAGCCCATGACTTCAGTCTTGCTATTGCCCTGAGCGACAAATCCGCGTAGATGGGGAAACTTGATATCCAGATCTAGTTTCTCGATCTTACGCAGGATCTGTATCTCGCGCTTGACAGAGTCGGGTTGGTCGGCTACAACCGGCTTGAAGAAGTATGTGTCCTTCGTCTCTTTATGGAGGACTTGGCCTGGGTGTGCGGGAGGTGGCATGCTGACTTCTGACTCGACGGTTAGGTCGTTGGCGTTGAGCCAGGGGAGCTTGTAATCTTGCATGTATTTGGGAACTTTCATGCGGGGGACGAGGGCTTCGATTTGGGCTTCTAGGTCGGATGTTGTTTCCAAGAGTTCTGGTGAGAGTTCTCCGTTGGCGATTTGCAACGTGTAGAAGTATGTCGGTCCGTGATACCATTCGTAAAGGGTGGGTTCTTCGGGTTCGCGGTTCGGTGGCGCGTAGGTGTTTGTGATTTCGG